AACTCTGCCCATTGTTTCTCGCCAGCGCCCGGGATCGAACCCGGGACCACAGGATCACAAGTCCAGCGTGCTGTCCGCTTGGCCGACTGGCTCCCCATTTGTCCCCATTCAACAAAACACTGTAAATCCTGGTGAAGAATTGAGGCGGGATAGTCACTGGGCACGAGGCACTGGTAAATTGAGCGGCAATCACCGTGCCACCACGAGCTAGTCGGTCCGTACGCGTATCAGCACCCTCGTATCCTGAGGCAACCCTCGTATTCCGATACAAATTTTCCGAGCATATCCTGCACGTAACCCGAAAAACTCGTAACAAGGGGCGTTCATAAGCCGAGGTACCACTAAACTTACTGTAGATAATTGGATTTTTCCTGGAACCTTGCAGTGTGACTCCTGCCTCCTGGTGCTCCTCTCTCTTGTGTACAGAGAATCATGTTACACATTCACCCAGTAAACTGGTGGTTTTACCTTAGAATTTCCCTATCCTTAGACTTTTTCACCGATTTCCTATATGCTAGGAGATCCCAATATTGGGAGAGGGGAATCCAGCACCACGAGAATTACTGAAGTCGTAATGTACAGCCTCCCCCAGACATTGTTATTGTTATGCAGTCTTCCTCAAACATTGTTATTGTTATGCAGTCTTCCCCCAGACATTGTTATTGTTATACAGTCTTCCCCAGACATTGTTATTGTTATACAGGCTTCCCCCAGACATTGTTATTGTTATACAGCCTTCCCCCAGACATTGTTATTGTTATGCAGTCTTCCCCAGACATTGTTATTGTTATACAGCCTTCCCCAGACATTGTTATTGTTATACAGCCTTCCCCCCAGACATTGTTATTGTTATGCAGCCTTCCCCAGACATTGTTATTGTTATACAGCCTTCCCCCAGACATTGTTATTGTTATGCAGCCTTCCCCAGACATTGTTATTGTTATACAGCCTTCCCCCAGACATTGTTATTGTTATGCAGCCTCCCCCAGACATTGTTATTGTTATGCAGCCTTCCCCCAGACATTGTTATTGTTATGCAGCCTTCCCCCAGACATTGTTATTGTTATGCAGCCTTCCCCCAGACATTGTTATTGTTATGCAGCCTTCCCCCAGACATTGTTATTGTTATACAGCCTTCCCCATACATTGTTATTGTTATGCAGCCTTCCCCCAGACATTGTTATTGTTATGCAGCCTTCCCCCAGACATTGTTATTGTTATGCAGTCTTCCCCAGACATTGTTATTGTTATGCAGCCTTCCCCCAGACATTGTTATTGTTATACAGCCTTCCCCCAGACATTGTTATTGTTATGCAGTCTTCCCCAGACATTGTTATTGTTATGCAGCCTTCCCCCAGACATTGTTATTGTTATGCAGCCTTCCCCCAGACATTGTTATTGTTATGCAGCCTTCCCCCAGACATTGTTATTGTTATTCAGTCTTCCCCCAGACATTGTTATTGTTATGCAGCCTTCCTCCAGACATTGTTATTGTTATGCAGCCTTCCCCCAGACATTGTTATTGTTATGCAGTCTTCCCCCAGACATTGTTATTGTTATGCAGCCTTCCCCCAGACATTGTTATTGTTATGCAGTCTTCCCCCAGACATTGTTATTGTTATGCAGTCTTCCCCCAGACATTGTTATTGTTATGCAGCCTTCCCCCAGACATTGTTATTGTTATGCAGCCTTCCCCCAGACATTGTTATTGTTATGCAGTCTTCCCCCAGACATTGTTATTGTTATGCAGTCTTCCCCAGACATTATTATTGTTATGCAGCCTTCCCCAGTCATTATTAATATTCTTATTCAGCATAATTAGGTTAACTAATATTAAAGTGATATATTACAACTGTTTAAAAATAAAGTACAGTATAGACTTTGCAATAAATAAATTCACATCAATAAAGAATAGTGACCATTTTTGTCATTGTTTAAATATAGTAAAATGTGACAAGAAACCAGATCTAAAAGGTTAGGTCAAAATAAAAATACATAACTGATAGCCGTGCATGCCGTGTTATGACTGTCTTACAATCTGTCCGAGATTTATCCATCCGGCAGGAAAGAGAAGGCAGCATCATTACGTGTTGGGTCTTCCACAAAGAAATAAAGCTAGAGGGCACACACTCTCCCAAGGATTCCAAGATAACATAGTACTACTAGAAATTCCTAGCAATCAGCAGCTAAGGTGTTTGTTCTTATAGTAGCCTAGTTTATTTTACTTTTAAAATTCTTTGTCTTACCTTCAAGGAGTCCGAATAAATCCCACATAAGCTGTTGCATACTGTATGGTTAACTTGTGCTAGTCATGAGGATCAGCATCCAGTTTCTGACCAGGCCTCCTGGTTGGTGGTCTAGCCAGTCTGGCTGTCAGATGCAGCTTACCATGACCCAAGCCATCTGGTGAAAACATGGGGAGCCAGATTCATGCCAACAACAAGAACCCTAAAGTGGTTCTTTATGTGGTTGATTATGAAGCCTAACCAATCCCTGAACCTTGGTTGTATATGCCAAAATACACAAGAAAGCATGCCAATAAGTGTCCCAGAATTCCAGAGAAATCATCCAGGACTCGGCCTCCAACACGAGGCTAACCTGGCAAGAGTGGTCATGCAGCAAGTGGGGCAGGGGATGAACTTTTTCAACCCCGAAAGATTGAGGATGAAATGGAAAGCTACCAAATCCTGTTTTGGAACCAGGAAGAGGCAAGATATCCAGCAGATACAGTTGTTTCAATCAAGCCAGAAGCAACCCACTCTGCAAAAACCCAATAGAAGCAAGGAGAAGAAGTCTGTCCAAAAATCCAGACCCCTCCCACGATAAATTTACCACGATTTGGTAAAGGACCAACCAACTCCACCCCAAGCCATGCGAAACAACACAAAAAGCCCACAAATCGTGGGACCAGAAGTTGCCAACCAGGCAAACCACTTCCCCACCTCCACATCAGAGGGAAGAACTGTGAGTCAGCATGAACCACGAACTGTGATGTCCCTCTGCAAAGTGCAAGAATAGCGCCAACGAGCAGAACATGAACCAACAGCGGGAGGTGTATACAACCCTGAACCTGGCTCAAATGAGGGCCTACCCCAAGCCAGCAGCAGGCAAAGCCCCAGACCTACCAGACTGCCTCTGAGAGCAAGGACAAGAACCGTGTTATCTTGAGGTTATCTTGAGATGATTTTGGGGCTTTAGTGTCCCCGCGGCCCGGTCCTTGACCAGGCCTCCACCCCCAGGAAGCAGCCCGTGACAGCTGACTAACACCCAGGTACCTATTTTACTGCTAGGTAACAGGGGCATAGGGTGAAAGAAACTCTGCCCAGTGTTTCTCGCCGGCGCCCGGGATCGAACCCGGGACCACAGGATCACAAGTCCAGCGTGCTGTCCGCTCGGCCGACCGGCTCCCTGTTGCTTGTCCTTGGTCCTTGGTTTGTTGCTTGTTGCTTGTCCTTAGTCTCTGTTCCAGTGGTCCTGACATTTTTGTTGTGGGCATTTGTAAATTGACTTCTCAAGCTGAATACTGTTGCCTCTATCATTTGGATTTGGTGCAGCCACTGTTTTTGGCACTCAGTGTCATCATTTTATTGGTTCCATTTCACTTTTGTCTTGGCCATTTTTTCGTCTCCAGCCGGCTGATGCTCCTCCTGAGCCATCTTGGTCTTTAGACAAGGTTTTGGGTTTTCTTTCCTCACCTTGGTTGTCTGCTGCCCCATTAGTCCAGGAGTGCTGTTTCATGGCTCTGAATTTGCTGGCCCTTGCTTTTGGCTATCAGGTTGGGGAGCTTCATGCTCTCATCCAGAAGCTGAGAATTTGTTCCTTTGGTCCTTGTGTCCTTTTCTTACCAATAATGAGATGGGTGATTTCTGGAGGAGTTCTTTAGTTATTGATGCTCGATTGGTTTGGCCAGGGGTGTATCATTTCTTATGCCCAGTTGATGTCATCCCACAATACCTCAATGCCACTGGTGGTATGCAGGAGATACAGTTTATGGGCCCGATGTCCCTAGTCCATTATTATAGGACTCGTTAACCTCAGGTCGTCTGCAGTGTCAAGTTCAACCAGTCTGCAGTCTACCTTGAAGTACAATCAAATTCTTAGTGAACAGTCCTGGTTCAAACCGAGCTTGTGTGGCTTTGGGGCGATTAACTCATCACTTATTCCCTCTTTCACTGGGGTTACTTTCTGCAGGTCTCCTCAGTTCCCTGGTGGGCATCCCGTTTTTTTGTCTTGTTCTCCAAGGTGACACCAACAAGGAGCCACTATAGGTGCCCTTCCAGAAAACCAGTGATGAATGTAATAAAATGCCTCTTTCTGATGGGCCCTTGTTGGACCTTGGACCCTTCCTTTCCTTTTCAGGTGTTTCCATTTATGTCTTACTTGATAAATGACTGAGGTTGTCTTGTTGAGGGATTAACTAGCTGGACACAAGATCACTTGGTGGCATATAGTTGTAATTAACAACTGAATTGCTTCAGCACAAGATGGTTCGTTCATTTCGGGGTCTCATTTTTCTCAATGTCTAAGCTTTAATTACATTGCTGATTGTCTTCTTTGGCTTGCCACCCTTCTGGTGGCCTTTTCTTGAACATGACACATATGATGATCTAGAATCCCCCTGCTCCAGGTGCCACTCTAGAAGTAGGCAGGCTTTGGCTTCTGGTTCCCAGCAGGCGTACAATGACTCGCAAAAGCCTGGCGTGGATTGAAATATTCAGATCTATAGAAGTAGCTACGAATAAAGAGCGTTTCATTACATTCAATGCTGATTTTATTCTGATCATGTACATATTTTACTCTTATCATGCTTACTCTTTCTTGCCACTCATTCACCCTTCAGTTTCCATTCACAGAATTTACTTTTTTTTTGTCATCAACTGCTTGTCCCACCCAGACAACTTTTTATTGGAGCAATTTTTGTACTGCATTGAAAATGTTATAAAATGGAATATAAAAACTAGCTAAAATACTTATCATAGTGTGTTTAAAAAATAGCGTACCTTTGTTCGGATGACTGGGCTGTCCTGGCTATCTTGTTCAACATCGGAGCAATTTACGGACACCTTTGAAGGTGATGTCTTGTTGATCAGCAGTTTCATAGACATGCCACCCAAGGGGCTGTCAGACGATGATTCATCATCAGAATTAGAGGATTCCTCATTACTATCTTCATCGTCATCATCCTTTGAATCTGGACTTGGAGCATCAACAAAAACGGGTTTGGATAATGTAGAATGAGTTACGACTTCAGATGCTTTCACAACAATGTTCTTCTTATAAGGTAAGCTAGTACTGGCTGTTCTCACTGTGGACTTGTTATTCGAATCATTCAAATGTTTTTTAAAATTTCTCAGCGATACAGAGCTTGTGTCTCCACTCAGATCTGCATAAAAAAAGACAAAAAATTATTCACAGAATTTCATTCTCATAACTATTATGTATTAACGTCCTTAACCCGTATCAGATTTTAACCTTAAAAATCAGATCTTAAAAATACTGTATCAACATAAAATAGAACACAAGACAATGGATATCAATAGGATAAGTTTAGATTCAGGAGAGACTTGGGTAATTACTGGTATACAAACAGGGTTGTCTATTAATAGAACAATTTACCAGGTAACATGAGATGTGGGATACATAACATAACATACATAACATAATATCAATGAATCATTTCATACATAGGATAGACAAATATATAAATGGATTTGGTTGGATATACAATAAACAGAAGCAGCCTCTTATGAGTCAATAGAACTTCTGCAGCTTCCTCAATTCGTATTTATGATCTTATGTTATTAACAAAAAATCAGCACTGAATGTAGGTAAATGGCTCTTTCTGGTAGTGACACGGTGATGTGACCCCTGTGGTAGCTCCCCACTACTGGGCGACATCAGCTGCAGTAGTCCTGTTTGGCTCACCAGAGACCAGAGCCATAACCTGGCCCCACCCCCACAGATAATCGGAGAGGACTATTATCATCCCTCACTGGGAAAGCATCCAGAAAGTCGGCAAAGCTTTACAGACACTGCAAGGTTTATAGAAAATGAAGTATCAAAATAGCCTAACGATTACACGAATGATCCAACCAGAACAAGTGATTCACTTGAAACCAAATTAGAACGTGTTAGTACCAACATCCACCATCAGACAGCCCAGAACTCCTAGCTGACTCCAAAGTCAGTCCGGAGCTGATGCAGAATGAACTGACAAACTTTGAAGGAAGGGAGCGAGGCATTTTATTACGTTAAACATTAGTTTTCTGGGAGGAGCCCATTTATGGCTCCCTGAAGCCAACAAACCAAAGAGAAAAAGGCAAACAAGGTTCTTGCCATGGAGGTGAAGAAACAGCATGTTCTAGGTCAAAGAAGAGACAGCGAGTCGATGATCCCAGCACAGTGCGATACAAGAGTGACTAGGACCAGAAACACTGACCAAATACTGGGCTGCCAAGACCATGTTAGGCCTCAAAAACCCTTGAGCCCCCACAACATGTTGGAGAAAAAAGGCATCTAAAGCAGTATATATTTACCAACAAGGGTAGACTGCAAAGTGGCTAGCTTTGATGATACTGTAGTCAACCTGAAAGATATGAGCATTGCAACACATTCAACACAGCAAATGATACACCAACCTTGCTGGACCAACCAAGCATCAATTATCAAAAGATCCCACTTGAAGCCAGCTGACTCATTCTTTGCCAGGAAAGGAGAAGGCTGCAGACAAATAAACTGCCCACCAGGGTCAAAAGAACTGAACCCATCCACCTCTGGAGAAAAGCATGAACTCTGTCAACCCCTGCAGCCAAAAATGAGAGCCAATAAAAGTATTGCCATAAAAAATTATCCAGAACCAAAGTAACAACCATGAATTGGAGAGGGAAAAAACACCAACAACTTGTCAAGAGACCAAGACGGCTCAGGAGGAGCATGAGCCAGCCGGAGGTGAAAAAATGCCCTAGACAACATGTGAAGCGATGCTGAAGCAGTATCAACGCCAACTACAAGTAATAGCGGCTCTGCCAACTCCGAACAATAAGAGGTGACAATATTAGGCCCAAGATGCTGATCCAAAAAACCAGCGTTGAATGTAATGAAACGCCATTTTCTGGGTGAGCCCCGGAGGCTCCCTGGAGCTTATCGGGCTAATGTGTGTTATGTTAGACCGGGACATTAGCTAAGGAGTTCAGACCTACCAGGGACCAGCGCCAGAACCTGGCCCCTTCAGAGAGGTTTCAGGGAGCAATGGCCCTGGAAAACCCCATATGGTTGGGGGTTTTCCTTATCTGCCATCGACCGGGGTTAGGCACCCAGAAAGGTAGGCGTAACAAAACAAACCCCACATGGTAAGAAACTACAACAAAAACCGAACAGAGAGGTAGAAAACTCCCTACAATCCCAAGGAAACAAGCAAACAAGCAAACATCACACTTTACTGCCGCGCCGATCGTCCGCGCAGCCCTCCCCACCCCGGGAGGGGGAGGGGGGAGCCCCGGACCTACCGCACCGGCTGCCAAGCTCCAGTTCGGAAGCTAAGCGTCAACCAACGCGAAAAAACCGCCGACCGGTGGGAGGGAGGGTTTCCAGGGAGCCTCCGGGGCTCACCCAGAAAATGGCGTTTCATTACATTCAACGCTGGTTTTCTGTGGGGAGCCCCTACGGCTCCCTGGAGCTTCATACCCAAAGAGAAGGAAAAGAAAAGGGCTAACCCGGGAGGCGGCCGCCACAAACTCTGCAACGCAAAGCCAAGACAACCGGTCGCAAACCTGCGACCCAAGGCAACAAGAACGCCCAAGAACAGACGCACACAAGGATGGGCGGCCAAAAACCTGTGCGACCCACAATTCCCTGCGCCCGAAATGAGCCCGAGACGTCACCAACACAGCAGCAATTGCTGCAAACGTCTGAACAGCACGGGCGCAAAGACAGACCGCAGTAAGAAGGAAAACACTGCGGACGACCCGGGAGACCCGAGCCCTGAAAACAGGGAACGAAGGAACCGGATCAACCACAGCGCATCCCCAGGCACGGCACGCCGGCAACAGCAAAAAGCACAACTGGACAACACAGGACGCACCCCCCGGCCAAACCAAACCAGTACCAATACCCCAAGAACCCCTCCGGAAAGCAGCCGTCTCGACCGTCGCCAGGACAGAGAAAGGCTGCACACCAATAAAGCTACCACCAGTACCAAAGAGGAGGAAACTGAAACCGAAGGGGCTACCACAAACTGAGGGGAAGAGAAGAAGGCACCCTGAACAAGGACCAGGATGGCTCAGGCGACTCATGAGCAGGCCGGAGGGGAAACAAAACGCGAGAAGACGTAATAAACGTCATAGTCTCCAAGACGAAGCTCGCAGGTGGGACACCGTCAACAAAGCCACCTGAACACCATAAAGATGGCGATACCTGCGTCAAAACACCAGACGCGAAGAGCCACAGAGAAGGCCGAACCAGGCACGGACAGGACCGATTCGGCCTGCTGAAAGAGGCGAAGCCTCAGGAAAAACGCCCCGGGTACGGACACCTATCAAGCAGCGTCTGAAAAGAAGGCCGGGCCGGCCACAGTGGAACCATAAGGACTGTTCTCGTGGGAATGGGCTGCAACTGAGCCAGAACCCGAAGCAACAGCTGGACCGGGAGCATTTCACTCACCTTCACTGGGTCCAAATATCTGATACATTTCATTGGCCATCCGGAATAACTGCGAGGCGTACAAATTTGTTTCAACGGTAAAGAACTCAAGGAGGGCACGCGTGATGAACAATTGAATATAAGCCAGTGCACTAGTAGGCTTGGGAATTTTCAGTCCAGGATTTCCAGTAAAATCATCAACAACTGGAGAAGTATTGCTGCGACTCCAGCCCTCACCAGCCCCAGCCTGCCGAGTACGTACTGTACGTGTACGCCTTTCAGCAGGCTCGAATGAATCCTCATCACTTTCCTCATCATGTAACACTGTAAAGTGTTTGAGTTAGTTTATTTAAAATATATATAGAGTACACGAGTCACAGACAAGGATCTGAGAGGCGCCAGTTGTCTGCCTGAGATCTCACACCTCTAACCGTTAATGACCCCAAGTGACCTGAGGTCAGATCATGATAATTTCACCTTGCTTCCGCTAAGCGTATAATTGGAGCCGGGTAGCCTTCAAACATGCCGACGTTTAAGGAGTGGCTTGGTAGTGCCGGAGGCTATCTACTTGTGGGCGGAGTTAGCTACTAGGTTCCCCAATATAAACTCGGAGAGCTATCCAGCATGGAGCATTGACAGACAGAACAGCATCAAGAGAAGAGCAGACGAGAGCAGAGACGACGTCCCTAGCAGGGAGGCTGTCGGCCGGCAAGGGCGGGAGTCTCTGTCAACTACAGACCCCCCCCCCCCCTCTCTATTCAACTTAGACTCAGTCCTCGGTGAGTGAACATTAAGGTGACTTGTCGTGTTTTATAAGTGTTGTGTGACGATCAGGGGCAGTCAAGTTGTAGGGTTCTCGAATTCTTGGATGATGACTCACTTTGCATATTAAACTGGAACATTTTAATTGAATTGCTTAAGTTATGATACTTATCATGAAAATATAATTGTTGAATTTATTATTTAAATGGTCTTTCACTGTGTTCCTTAGAGTTTTGAGTTGAGGTGAGAAAGCCTCTGTGATTACTGGTTTCATGATTTAATGAGTACATGTTTGGAGTTGATACATGGTAATAACATCTTTTGAGAATATTTTGTGATACAGGCAAGTTCCATTCCTTGTCTTGTATGTAATGATCATGAATGGATGGTGGCAGCATTTCTACTTCTACTATCTACTCTTCTACTTCTACCTATCTACACCTCTCCCTCCACCCCTCTCTGAACTCGCACTTTCAACTAATGACCCTCCTCCCACCTCTCTACCTCTCACCCCAAACCCTCACTAATTACTTCACTTTTCATTTCGTTCCTTTCGTTTTCTCTCTTTCGCTTGTTTTAATGATTCTGTATTCTAGAGTTCTCTCTAGAGTTTCGGGTAACTGATCCAGTTACGGCGCCTTGTGGTCTTAGCACCTAGGTAGTCGAATACCTAGGTTACAAGGTGTTGAACGAGAGAGGTTGCCTTAGGAATTCTGGGAGTGCTCTAGAATAGTTAGCTAACTGGGGACGGGATAACGGACTAGAGAGAGCTGTTTCCCCCGGCCTCGTTAGTTAACTGGGGGGTGGAATAATGGACAAGATAGAGTTATTTCCCCCACCCCCCGTTACAATGTTGGCAGCGGTGTTGAACAATGTTGTAGGTAGTTGGTGTTCTTTTAACATTGTTCAGTCCCACGTGTCTTTTTGCCGCTCAGGCGCTATCAGGGAGATCTTGACAGGTGTTTATTATTCGCGGTTTAGCGA